ACCCGCAGCAGGAGAAGTAACAGCCACCAACAGAACACCACCTAGAACACACATCACGACCACCGACTCAGCACACCACGACATCTACTCTGTACACGCACACCACACCCCGTCACTCACACTCACCATTTCCCGCCAGCGTTGACACTACGACGACGCTCGAGGAGCTAGACGGGGTCGACTCGAGAGGACGACGATGGCCTCGACCGACCGGAGCTCCCGGAGACGGGAACGAGACCACGAGCATCACAGCCTCGGCCCCCACCACGGAGAGGGGCGAAGAGTCCACGACGGGCGCTGGCGGAGACGAGTCCACCGTGATCGGCGACGAGCGCACCGTCTCCGGCGTGGAGTGCACCGTCTCCGGCGCCGAATCACCAAAACAAGACGGGGTCCGCACGTGGACTGGAGCCGCAGGACCGGCCGGCGGTGGGGTCTCCTCCTCGGTGGTAACCAGCTCGATCACCACCGGGACCGGGGCCGCTGCCGGCTGGGCCGCGCCCTCGGCCTGCTGACGGCAGTCCGCGCTCAACTGCTCCAAACTGCGGGGAGCGATACGCCCAGCTGGTAAAGGGGACGGCGGCGCCACCTCCTCCATCAAACCACCCTCAGAATCGTACTCTTCCATAACGCCGCCACTAGTGTCCCAAGAATCCCCAGCACCAATACCGCTACCTGCACAACTCAAAACACCTCCAATAAGCTCAGGCCATATGCCTCTCATAGAGAACACACCCCATTCGACCACCACTATTCACCAGACGCGAACCCAGATGCACCGTACACGAGCATTTGCTTTTTCATTTTGCCGTAATAGGAAAGAGTAAACTTCTGATAAGTTTGCGGCAAACTTGATATCATCGATGTCATTCCGTAATTTCTTTGGCAAAGAGCTCGAGATCCTCATCTAGTATCACTACCTTCTTTCCAGGTACTACTCGCCCATTAAATGTAGTCTCCGTTTTAGTGATAGATTTGATGGGGTACAACTGTCCCCTTAGTCAGGCTGCTAAAACCAACTTGAAATTCGTCCAAATTTCCCATCCTTAAGAAATAGAATTTAACGTCAGACACTATCCCAAACACTTTAATCTTTATCAAATGGAGATGACTAATTTAAGATTATTCACTAGCTATATGTACGCCAGACCACGTCTCGCGTAACAGGCTTCGCGATATCTCACGAAACACTGTTACGCCGCGACGCGCCTGGCGCACATATAGCTAGGCCTGCGGCGCTGACACCCGAGACGAGATAAGGAGAGGGTATACGGGAACAGGTCCTTCCGGCCCCAAAATTTGACATACTCACAGCATTTGTCGGGGACTTATTTCTCTAAAGTTAGGGACATGAAACTTCTGTTGTTCGATAACGGTTTTCATTCCAAGTTCGAATTTTGACAGATTGTAATGTAAAAATCAACGTTTAAGTGATACTAGGTAGGGGCCCTTAAGCCCAAAAGAGTGTGTGGTTCGACCCGTAATGTGTGGATTAAATATTACTCCCTTTACAATTCTGTGACATGAAGTCTTTTTTACGATTTAATAGACCATTTTGTCTTTTTCACGTTGTTTTCGCCAAGAAATGGCCCATAGCGCTGAAACAGTACAAGACAGAGCAAAACGGACGAAATTTTCGTCCCAAGGGCTCTACTTTGACGAGTTACCCCTTAGGAACTCATGAAAAAATATTTGCAAAAAATTCCTTTTGCGACCTATGGTTTTTGATTTTTTCAAAAAGTCAATTTTTGAGCTAGAATGCTCATCTTCGAACTCGATCTGTCTTTTTACGATACAAAACGACCCTGAAATTCCCAGATCGCTAACTCAATTCCTTCTCGAGTTATCGTGCATACAGACAGACAAATAAACACAAACGGACAAACAGAATGGAACTTTTTCGCTAATCGCTCACCCAATAAAATAAACAGCTGCACTGACATGTATATAATTACGAAACAGATTAGAACTCACCTTGGCGGATGGAAAATTCCAAACAATAGCCTTTTTGCCAAAAGAACGATGACGCACTGACGCACTGACGCACAAGACCAGTACCGAATCCTGCTACAGATACACACATTTATTTCAACTATTTTGTTGATTCACATCACAGAAAAGCTAAACCCTCATTAAGATTCATTAGCTCCACTAAAATACATTTATTACAACTGATTTTCTATTCGCGGGGGGAGAGCGGGCTACGCTGGACTAGCCAGTGTGCTCGTGGGGGCATGTCTCCGCGCGATTCTCCCTGAGGGAGGGTGGGCAGGGGCTGACCAGAGTATAGAGCATGGCAGTGCACTGATCCCGCTTCCGCAATCCCCCGAACGCGTAGGCCCACGGAGGGCCCGATAGGCATGCTCATATCCCACCCCGCTTGCTTCGCTTTGCTTGCTGCTTCGCACCCCCACCTGTTAATCCACCCCCATCATTTATCATCGTCCCAGTTCTACAGGAATGTTACAGGAATGAATCATGACCAGGCGGACTGCGGAGCATCAGTTTATTTCACCGTTCTCAAACAACCACAACCACGCTACCAGGAGGAGCATCACTCCTGCCCCGCTTGATCCCTCCCCTCACGGAGCCGCCGCTGGATGGCAAGCTCCATCGCCTGCTGACACAGCCGCAACGCGCAGCTCAGCGCGTTCTCCGGTGGCGCCTCGGCGCCTGCTGGGGGCGCGGGGTCGTCCATGGGCTCCCCGTTGGGGCCCAGATCCCACCCCACTTCGTCGGCGTCCGCGGCGAGAGGGTCCTCGAACCAACGGCACTCCCACTCGAGCCGCTTCCGGGACCACCCCTTCCTGACGCACGTTGGGTCGGTCTGGTCCACCTCGCCACCCTCAGGGCGAGGATCCACAGTGATGGCGGCGGCAGCGACGCCGAGGGCCTCACGGACCTCCAGGCCGAGTGCGCGGCCGAAGTCAGAGGGGCGCAGTGGGGATCCCTGCGCCACGCCACCGGCGCCGGCGGAAGATGGTCCCCTGGCTCCGACTGGCAACAAACAAACAAACAACGTCAGACGGGGCGGACGGCCTGGGGCCCCTCCACCCCCTCCCTCCAGCAGCTGCCACTCACCTTGGCGGGACGACGCAACTGGCCCGGACGACCTCGGGTTTGGGGCCCTCGCCACGTGCGCAGGACCTGGCTCGGTGTCGGCGCCCCCCCCCCCCTCCAGGAGCCGCTGTCGCCCTCAACTTCGAGCACTGCGCCCGCGGCCTCCAGGGACGCTTCGTCGCGGTCCTCACGGGCTGCGGCACGGTATAACAAAGGGGTAAGGCGACGAGTCACGGGATGGGCTGCGCCACAAAGTTGGGCTATTCACCTAGGCCGGGTTAGAGGGCGGCAAAAAAACTGAAGGTTTAAAAAGCCAGGGGGGGGGTGCTTGCAAAACTAAAATTTTTGACACCTCCTTTAACTTGATCGGACATCGGGAAAAGGTCGCACCACGCTATCAAAGTTTACCACAGATCTCTTATGGGAAAATGACCTAAAAAGTAACCTTTTTGGAAAATGGGCTTATTATTGCAAAAATTTTGAATTTTGTTTCCAGAAATGAAATCTACACGTCAAAACACACCCAGTGATGTGCCACACTTGGTGTTTCACCAAAGGAGCACCCGCTGAGAGATGCTAATTTATGGATCTTCTACCCGTTTTTAGTAGAATTTAGCTAAGTTAAGGCCCCACCTGGCCCCGGACCCCTGAGTACAGGTGTCAAAAATTTTAGTTTTGCAAGTGGCATCTCGATCCGAGCACCCCCCCTAACTTTTTAAACCTTCAGTTTTTTTGCCGCCCTCTAAGGCCGGGTACTCCTTGCGGGGGACAGACGGCACGCCAACGACGATCCATCACGCCAAACCACGGAGGTACGCTAACACACCAAGACACCGACTTCTTCCTGCGGACTCGCGCTAGCAACTGCTGACCGCGGAGGGCGCAGCTCACAGCTAACCTTGGCCGCCGGCCGGCCGGGCTGCGTCGAGCGCTGACTCCAGTGGTAAGCAAACGGCGCGGACGCAGCCGGCCTGACCGGACTCACTCTTAGCAGACCGGCCGAGCGGCGCGGTGGTGTCATCTGACATCTGTCAACTCGTGCAAACACAGGCTTGGACTTCTTCCCGGTAAGGTCCCTGGCCGCGAGACCCCAACGGCCGTGCACCCCCCCAGACCTAAATATTTAATTGCTTCTACCTGGTTGATACTTTTGCTTCCAATTTTAACTTCTATTTCTTCTTTTGGCCATTGTGGCTTCTTAAACAGGATGAAGTTAGTTTTTTCTACATTTAGCGTCAATTTATTTGTATTAAACCAATTATTCAGT